TAAATCACTTCATAAATTAGCGTGTCCAGCTTACAGGTGTAGTATTTACAAGTCCTGTGATGTACAGTAAAGTACGTATTAACCAAATTAATCATTATTTATTAAAATAAAACAAACATCGTATTGGTCATGTACAGCATCATAACTAATAAAAATTATTCATCGGATCAAAGCTGCAACTGTTACAATTTTTGTTGCATCACAATAACCGTTGAAGGAATTTCATAATACACCGAGGAGAGTGAAAAAACGGTTTTCGTTTCAAAATTCAGCTTATATCATTCCATAAACTCCGATATCTTAATCTTGCACATTATCTCTTACACGCAGTGCAAAATGCACCATAACTTTTTTGGACTCTACCTGATACACAATAATTACACGTGACGAGAAGAAAAACAAAAAATTAAATCTTGCCGAATGGAAAATAATACATTCTCGTTCCATTGTAGCGAGTATATTTTTATGCCAATTGTAAATCTGCTACCATACTATTCCCCATACCCATAAATAATCCGACCTAACAAACGACGAGCAAATCGCGACACGTCATTGTGATCATTCCACAAACATCTCCCAAGGAGCTTAATCCCCTCAGCCTTATTTTCCCCCCTACTTCCCTTCCTCACAGCTTGAATCTCTTTCTTATTCCCTCGGTCATTTTTCTTCCTTTTTTCCTCCTTTCTTCTCATTCTCAAGATCAGTCGCGCGCACACATGTGGAATTCGCCACGCTTCTCTCGTGTCTTCTGCGTCACAGCTATACAGGTATATCCCCCATAATATAATCTCTCTCTCGCGCGCATTGTGTACACGACATGACTATATGAGTCCGCGGTCGAGCGACCACAAGGAACGCTACTCTTACGAAGTAAAGATGCCCCCCACCCCCTGCTCTCGTGTTCCATCCCGTCTGTTTCGCTTCTTCGCCTTTTTTTCCCCCCTCCGTGCAAGATGAAATTACTTCAAATTATTTTCATCTTCTCAAATTTGACGATGACGCGTGGAATATGCTCCTTCGCGATTTGGGGTTTGCTCCTTACCTCGCGTGCATACGATATGCATTAAAGCTGGCAGAGATGGTTCGCATGGTCCATACGGTTGTTAGTTTGAGGACGATCTTATTTTTCAATGGTAAAGAAATTTTTCATTGCACCTTTAAAGATAATATCCGTCAGTTGGGTGTATTACTTGTGACTTTGGGCCGATTGATCTTATACTGATGTGATGTTTAATTCGATTTCTTTTTGTCGAAGAAAAACAGATTTCTATTTGGGCTATTAAAATTTTGGTTGGAATAAGTCACTGTGATATTTGAAACTAAATTTCTTCTGGCAGAAGACATAGAAGATACATTTTTTTATTAATAATCATGCGAAAATAAACTCAGCAAATCGAATCAATTCAATTATCCTCTGTTTTGACTTACTTATACATAAGTACCCTTACACATATAAGAACAAAATATTCGTGATCTCATGTCTCGATCCAAAACTGCAAGAACACCCTTGGAGCCCTATAATTTACGAATTCCGAAAACAAAGATCATTAGGAAAGCTTTAGTGTTGCCAGGCCGGCGGGACAAAAAATCCCACAAAAACGCGTCCAGCTTTTATTAACAAGACCCTGACTGTGCGTAAGGAGATCCGACTAGTGGAAATAACAATCATTTAGCGCCAGGAAAATAAAAAAGAATCCGAAACCAGCGCATCCCGACAGACACACACACACTCACGAAATCGTCAAAGATGACGATCTTAGAACTTTTGAGCCGGGTGGCCCATTAAAGGTGAGGCCAACAAACAGCAGCCCATTGAAAACGAGAGGATGATTCCTTAGCGAAATGACGCCAATAAGCCCAGGGGCTCTCTCGGGCGAGTCTTTTCTCAGCTTATACGCGTTCTCATTACGCGCTCGAAATCTGAGAAACTGGTCGCAATTACTCCTCTCTCTCTTTCTTTATCTCCCCTCGACTTGTCTCCTCTTCTACAATTCTCGCGAGAGATGCACCGCGCGCATGTACACAGGTTCCCAAAAGCCCCTCAAAACGGAGGGAGAAAAAGAGCTCGGCCGTTATCTTCGATCAAAAGAATCACCGCCAACATTGTCTTGCATCGCCACTTACACGCGTCTCTCTCTCTCTCTCTCTCTCTCTCGTTACCTTTGGGATGCCCCTCCCCTTCTTTTCTCCGCTCCGTCTCTTCTTACCGAGTCGAGCCTTGGACTTTTTGTTCCATCTCGCTCCTTATAAACCTACTCGCCCTTTTTTTTCACCTCCCATCTCTCGCTTTCTTAAAGAAAAAGGAGAGAATACACACGATTTATGCTTAATCCGAGCTCGCTTTTGCGTTTGCAAGACGGAGAGAAAACCACATTCTACCCGTTACAATTTTAAAAGACAATACGAGACTCAAGCGAATACGGTGTTGTTCTGAAAAATTATCAAAACTACAAATATGGTCTTTCCGTCTATGATCTCACCTGGTCTTACCTTGAATTGTTCACATTAATCAAAAGTAAACATTAAACTGTCATTGTCTGTGAACGTATACGTGAGCAGCGAAATACTTAATGTAGCTAATGCGGTGCAGACCGCGTAATTTCCGAATAAAAATGTTTTTCTCATCTCAAGTAATTTATCTATGTGTTAGAATGTTGCACGAGCTGTATTGGATGCATTTAACTGACTTGAGTGTTCAATTTTTCATCAGAACAAAAAATTTTTAATAAAAATTCATTAATAAAAACTGATGTGAAATTTTTAATACTTCTTATACAGCTCAAGAAATTTTTTTAGATTCCTCGTCTCATCAGCTTCTTAAAAAGTTTTTTAAAAGTTTAAATCATGAAGAACTTCCTTGTCAAGTGAATCGATAAAATTATAAAATTTTTTTCTAATTGACTGGTACAAAACATTAAGATTTTAAAATTTGTAAAGCTTATTTATAGTGTGTGTATAATTTTTATGAAATATACTGAACTTGACCTATTCGGTGATATAATACACAATGTTTTAAAAATTTTTATTTAATACTTCATGGAAAAAAATTATTGTAGCAAACCTCTTCAAGGCATTGTATTGTACTATTTCAATCACTACGATGTTTACATTGTTTCGATTATGCTTATAGCTGAGCTCGACGCGTGCTGCGTCTCTTGGCCACTTTGTGTTGTGATACTTGCTATCTGACTATTGTTGATAAAGTTTCATCATTAAAATTTTAGAATCAAGTGACTAGAGATGCTAGAAAATATCAATATCAACATATTTATGAAGTTAATAAATTTGAATATTTTAGTATGCATGACCTAACACATAGAAACTAAAATATTTTTAGCACGAAAACAATTTTATTTATCCTACAGTCAACCTACAGTCAACGTACTCGTACGAGAGAAAAATCATAAGCTAATCGAATCCACTTCAATGTGATATCTTTAATGCAGTGGATAGTATTTTATAGACATTGCTTTCACTCCTAAATTATATTTGTGCTTGTTAAGATACGTAAAAAGGAATTTTATGGACGGTATTGAAAGCAACGAGCTGAACATTTAAGAAATCTTCGTTTACGATAAGTGTCGCTCTAAGATACCAAATAATGGCTAGTGCTCACGGGCTACAAATGTACTTGAATGGCTACCTGTGGATCTGTTTGCAAGGATGAATTTTCCGGAGACAAGTGTTTGACCAAATGGTCTAGTCGGTTACTCCCGTTGGAGGGACTAGAATCACGGAGAGGGTAACCCTTGACGCGATCAGGTACTGGACACTGCTCCACCAGCAAACAAAAGCCATTTTCGTTTAATCGCGGCCTTTGACACGGCCACTGCGTCAATGTTTGTCAATTAGTCGACTCCACGGGGATCAAAGTGATATTGACCGATTTGGCAAATTAGACTATGTTAGCGCTACTAGTGATACACAGATTTTTGTAACTGATTTATCCACTAATAAATGGTCATTAGAATACTAATATATTTCAATAATTTTGGGTATTAATGAAAACTTTTTTTTTTATTATATTTATTGGCATTTATTTATGCGTTTACTACAGTGATATTGTACATTTATTAAGTCGCAATAAAATGTTAAATTACGTTTGAATATAGTTCTGGAATAAAAAATTCTGGTAGAGTGAAAATTAATACATACTAACGAAACATAGTGCAAAATACATTTTTTACATAATTCGTAATATTTGTATATTATTATTAAATAGAGATATTATAATTCGCTGTTTTGTTTATAAAAGTTTATACCCTACTTTTAAAAGAGCTGCAATAAAAAAAAATTACAGTGTTATTTAAAACAAAATATTATACTATTGTTTAACATCTCGTCATTCTAAGTTCAAATGTTTTATTTATATGAAATACGTGGTATGCCAAAAAGCCGAACTTATTTACAGCTCAAAACGCAGATACTCATTAAAAGTAATAAGCATTTACAACGTACAATCTATTGCAATTTTTAAGTCCAAACAACGATTAAATTAATTATAAACATCCATTTAAAAAATAGATTTTTTGCCTGGCTCAGGTTTGTCAAGACTCTTATTGTTACAGTAATTCGTGTTCAATGGGTCTTTTTATCAGTTTTTCTTAGAATGTGCAAACTTCGTCGAAATTTTTGCTTTCAAATAATATTTTGTCATGTGAGTGCAAGTAAGTACGTTATTAAAAAAATTTTGTCATCTGTGATAATTTTAATGAGTTGCGTACAATTACAGTTTCAAACAAAATGGCAGTTGTATTTTAAGGATTTTCAACTGTAGATGGACAACTGTGCCTCATTACAGTTACCTTATGAGTTAAAAAAAAAATTATACATATGATATTTTATATTATCGGTTTATCATTTAAACGTAAGCTAATGTCATCTATTTAATGCGTTTTTCAAAACAAAATGCTACTCATCTTATATTTATGTAGCTTCTCACTTCCATACATGACAAAATAATTTTCAGAATTAAATTTTTTAGTTAAAGTACTGTCCCAGTTTTTACATACATATAATTTCTCGATTACACATATGCAAATGTGCATTTTAAAATTGCTTTTTTCAGTAAAATGTTTCCCGCAGATCTTAAAGTAGTATTAAGTTTATCAGTTCGTCTGAATACAAGTATGCATTTTTAGATAAACTATTCGAGAATATGATTTGCCGCAGATTTTACATTTGTATGGCTTATCACCTGTATGAACACGAATGTGGGCTATTAAATAACCTTTGGTAGCAAAAGACTTACCACAATCGTTGCATTTAAAGGGTCGCTCGCCTGTATGTACACGATCATGCCTTTGCAAAAAAAAATTACTAATGAAAGATTTTCCGCAAACGTTACATTTATATGGCTTTTCATCTGTGTGGATGCGAGCATGTATTTTTAGTTGACTCGATACAACAAAAGATTTGCCACAGATTTGACATCTATACGGCTTTTCGCCAGTGTGGATATTAGCGTGTGTTTTCAAATGAGTTAATTGAGAAAAAGATTTGCCGCAGATTTCACATTCATATGGCTTTTCGCCTGTGTGGACAAGACCGTGCCTTTTCAGATTAAATAAGTCACCGAAAGATTTGCCACAAATTTCACATTCATATGGCTTTTCACCTGTATGGGTACGAACGTGAACTTTTAGATTAGTTGGTCGAAAAAAAGATTTGTGGCAAATTTTACACTTGTGTGGTTTTTCGCCTATATGAATACGAGTGTGCATTTTCAGATGAATTAATTGAGCAAAAGATTTGTCGCAAATTTCACATTTATGTGGTTTTTCACCTGTATGTGTACGAGCGTGTGTTTTTAGATTAATTAATTGAGCAAAAGATTTGTTGCAGATTTCACATTCATATGGCTTTTCTCCTGTGTGGATACGCATGTGGATTTTTAGATGATTTAACATATTAAAAGATTTGTCACAGATTTGACATCTATACGGCTTTTCGCCAGTGTGGGTATGAGCATGTGTTTTCAGATGAGATAATTGAGAAAAACATTTGCCGCAGATTTCACATTCGTATGGCTTTTCGCCTGTGTGGATGAGACCGTGCCTTTTCAGATTAAATGAGTCACCGAAAGATTTGCCACAAATTTCACATCTATATGGCTTTTCTTTTATAGGGATACAATTGTGTGATTTGAGGGAAGATTTGTAAGCAAAACTTACACCGCAGATTTTACATGCAAATTCCTTTGGACTTGAAGGCGGCTTTTCACTTACACAGCGTCGTTCATGTTTCTTCGTATCAACCTCCATTGCAGATGTTATTTCCAAATATTTCCAGCAAGTGTTGATCAAGACTTCAGAAAATGCTATGGTAATACCAACCCAGTGATTGTTGCGTTTAGGTGGTAAACTTTTAAACAAAATTTTTTTTTACATAGAAGAAAGTTGCTATTCTTCACGTGACACAACAACTGGAAAAAAAAAATAAAATGAATTTCACGTTGACAAGATGCCAAACAATTTTTACATTAGCAGTCAAAAGATCTAGTGGTAGTTTTCGTCACATGAGTGCCATCGTCACCTGGGCCATGCCTATGGCCCCGAGGGAGTCTTAAATAGCTATGCTTTTGTTTCCATAGATAGAGTAACAAACGTGACGAAACACCTCAAAAGCAAGAGAAAGTAGTAGAGAAAATTTTACTGTTAACATGAACGTTTTTGTCAACTGTTGTTGAATCCAATTATTTTTATAAAACTAAAATATTTAATAATTTGATGCAGGAAAATCAAATCTATTTTATGCAATAGATTGTTTGACGTAGTTCCGACACATTATATTAGTCTTTTTTGTCTCCGAAAAGGTACTTGAATAAAACTCACCTCCGTTTTTTTAAGTTGATCGAGATACGTTGTCTCTTATTCCTTCAAGTAACATCCAGTGATATTTCTACAATAATTATTAAAATCTCTTACTGTGATACTTAGAAATACACTTTATCAACGCAATCATTTTACTTTAGAGCTTTTCGCACTTCTAATATTAATCGTAACAATAAAAGTATATTTCCCTTGAACTTACAATTTTTATTTGCAAACATCCAGCTTTCAACTGTAGTCTTCTTCTAGAGCAGCAAAATGAAGATTGTTGACTCCATTTGTATCACATATAGTTATGGATATAAGCAGGTTACAGTCTAAAACAGCACGAAGTGCACTGTAGTCACCAAAAATTTTTGTACAAACTTATCTACACTTTCCACTTTGCCTAATATTTTGATGTTTGAATCGTAATGTTCATACACATTTGGAACTGATAGCGATACATTAAACAAATACTACTAGCGCTAGATGAGCTGTATACTGCGTACTTCTTACACCGAAACAAATTTGTTACCACAAGAAGGGTTTTGAAGCAACTATGGTTAATCATCGGTATTTCGAATGTTCTAAACTATAGCCTCAGATGAGGTAGGACGTGCAAGGTCCAAACTTGGTAATATAATGGACCTGGAGAAAGCTATTTCGCAGTTGTGATGTGTCGCACTGTGAGCCGTTACAAATGTACGAGCTCGATGATTCATTGAACTTGGAAAATACGAGTTAAGAACAGGGACGGATCGAGCAGTCAACTTTGGGGGGGGGGGGGGGGGG